GACTATGTCCCCTTTTAATCACATCAGTAATGAACATATAGGACTCAATGGTCACAAAATACAATATATCATCATATGTAGGTCCATTAACCTCTATCCTGGGTAATCCTGATTTCCCACATGTCTTGAAGAGTAGGAGGTTTCTGAAGTGGGAGACTGCGAAGCATTCCCCAATGATACAGGCTGCTAATGCTTCAGGGGTATACCCTTTGTTGTATTTACACCCACGAGGTACATCTAGCATGGGTAGATTTCTGGAGTACTTACAACTCAAACATTTCTATCAACACTTGTGTTCACGGGGCATTGTACTCAGAGATTTGAGGATATTTGTATGAATAAAGCGGGAAATAAACATATGGTGTCCAAAGTATATAACATATTATTATAACACATGTATCTGCTCCCTCCTTATTATATTTGGAAATGGGAACGGGATCTGGGGCACTTGGTAGCAGGAAATGAGGAGTGGAACAAGGCTTTTCACTTAACTTTTAAATCAAGTATGGCAGCTAAAACACAGGAAAGAAACTATAAATATTAATTAGATGGTACAGATGCCCAACAGTAGTACATAAAATAAATCCCCAAGTGCTGGAGATGTGGAGCAGAAGAGAGGACAATGCTACTTATATGGTGGTCATGACAGTCATTTAGACCGTACCGGAGACTAATTTTGCAGGTAGGGCGTCACCTGATGGGATTAAGTCTGCTGGAGACCCCTGAGTTGGCACCTATGTCAATTCTGTCCAGTGACGGGATCAAAAAGAAGGCTAGCATGTCTCATATTGGAAGTAGCAAGGTCAATAATCACCCGGTACTGGAGGACATCAAACTTTCCACAGACCCAGGAATGGGTTAGTGAATTAAACAACATACTGCGCATGGATAAGCTTACAGCACGTTATTATAATAGGTATCATCTGTTTGAGGAGAAGTGGAGAACTTCGATTGATTTTTCAAGCTCATCCGAGATACAGGATTATTTGTATTTGATATCGATTAAGATTTCAGAACCAAACATCCAAGCCTTCTACTCGCAAAATTTGATTAGGAGATTATGATAAACACGCTTACTCCTTTCCGTCCCCCCCTCCTTTTTTTTATTTTGCGTGTTTGTTGTTGTTTTTTTTTGGGTGGGGTTGTGGTGGTAAGATTGTAGTGACTGTTTTTTAAGTGCAGGAAAATGGGAAGTGAAGAAAAGTATATAGGACAAATATGTATTGTATTAAGATGTGATGAAGGATGTGGATGTACAAAATTACAATGTAAGAGATAGAGATTGATAAAAAAAAAAAAAGATATTATTTAAAAAAAAAAAAGAAAAAGAAAGAACTTTCATTGCGCAATATATAAAGCCATACACTTTTATTCACAAAATTGGCTTACAAGGCAAAAAATATCGGCCAGCTAAAAACAGCACAGAGATGGGGGGTGATCCACCCCCCTTCTGAGGAAGTCACATGACGAAACGCGTCGAGGAGGGTAGATGCTAATTTATCAGACACGAGGCTCCACGCTTGTCTCTGTGCTGTTTTTAGCTGGCCGATATTTTTTGCCTTGTAAGCCAATTTTGTGAATAAAAGTGTATGGCTTTATATATTGCGCAATGAAAGTTCTTTCTTTTTCTTTTATTCATCTCTAAAAAACTCTGCGGGACAAACGGCAAAGCACTTTTGCTATTAACTAATCTGAAAAGATCGGACTCCTCATCCGTGAGTTATAGGCAACGGCTTAGAGGATAAAATCAACTGTTTCAGCTGCCGGGACTCGCAGAGAACACGTCTGTGCTAAAGCCCAATCACGGTACCACTCACTAAGAGTTTTCTACCAACCTCCCTTTGGTGAGTATCCACCCAAGAGGGGCAGTTCGGATCAATTCTAAGTACACCGCTATTTTTGCACATTTGTATATTTACACACGGAATCTACCGTTCACCTGCCACCCGAGAGGGACAGTTCGGATCAATTTCAAGTACACTGCTATTTTTGCATATTTGTATATTTGCACACGGAATCTACCGTTCACCTGGATTTCTTTATTCATTGGACACTGTTTTGATGTTTTTAAACACTTTTCGTTTATATAATTAATTGGAATGAAATTTATTGGTTTTAATTGTTTATTGTGTTAGAGTTAGAGTGGTTTTATATATATTTTTAGGAAGTTAGTCCTGTTTCATACATTTATATATTAGGTTCCAGACTGACCTCGCCAGAATACCTATTGTTCACTTTTTTGCACATATTTTTACCTTTAGCGCTTTGTTTCTTTCGATCATACTAGGATTTATCCCTTTTCAGAGCAGCTTTGGGTTTATTTATTCACACATATATTTTTAATTTATTAACTTAATTTAATTAATTTTTCATTTCAACTACCACCTCTCTCCAGAAGCGCAGATTTAACTGTTTACTCATATCCTTATGCCTACCCATTTTTCTCTGCTTCCGACACCACAAAGAAAATAAAATCACACCGCAGCCATGCCTCCTGCCCTGCAGTTCGATTGTCTGCAACAGAGCACGTGGCACAGCAATTCCCGCGGTGCGATTGCAAAAAATAGCGCATGCATTTTCCACCCCTCAGATGATGTGCATGTTCACATGTCCTAGTCACATGTGGTAGAGTTCTAGGAAATAAAGTGATATCTAGTAATCTGTCCTTATTCAGAATGGCCACTGTCAGATGACTGGGAAAGAAAAGAGAAATAAGGTATGAAAAAATTAAAAGCCGGCAATTATCTAGAAGTATATGTTTGTAGATTGTCATTACTGAACATTTCTAAAGGTGCCTTTGTTGCTATTATTATAAAGATATTGATAAAGTTCCTGTTTAAGTCTGCGTGGATAGATCTGTAAAAGCTTTGCATATCTGGACATTGCAATTCCCTCCTCCCAAATTTATCTTTGCAAACTAGCTCCAGCTCTGTTAGATTGCATGGGGATTAGGAGTGAACAGGGTTTTTTTTTTTTTCAAACAGTTCTGAATATACTTGGGAAGTTTTAGAATATAACAGTATAACATTATACTTTGTTTATCAGTAGCATATGACATTTAATCATGTAGGGACACCTTAGCAAACTCATAGATAAGCAAATATTGTACTGAGTACATAGGGTTACTGCCTGCATTGACAGTATTGTTTCTTTTTCTAAATTCACAATGGAATGATTGGAGCCTGGTTTTTCAGTGGATCTCCCAGAAGTTAGAAAATCTGTGTGTTTGATATTAATGTTTTCAATTTAGAAATGCAAGTTCGCTAACTTTAGGGACATCTTAATGTCTAGGTAGTTGAAAGAAATGCTTAAAACTGTATTGAAAAATATTTACATATTCTTATCAATCAGTAAATATGCTTTAAAATAAGCCCTGAATTACCTTTGTTGTTACAGTCACTGTGGAGCAATCCTCAAAGTCTCAATGGAAGCATAAACGTTGTTCAAGGCCTTTTTTCTTCTCTTCCTGTGCACTTTCTCTGTTATTATATTAGAAATTTGAAGGCTGGCAGATTGCCAACAAACTGTTGTCAATGGGGAGCTAGGCTACTGAGAGAAAGTGAGAGTAAAATTTCACCTGCAAACTTTAAAGTATAAATTATTTCACAGCGGCTGCACCTACAGAGGTCATTGAGTGCTGGTTTTAATATTTATTTACTGTTTTTGTAAAACTTTAAGGCATTCTGCCACCTAGTGGTGCAAGCACTGTCAACATCAGCTGTGGCAGATGCAGGAGGCGCTGGAAGTGCACTCCTATGTAGGGCTGCAACATTCGATGATGAGAATGGGCATTATCGATTTAGTTGATTGTTCGATTAGTTGAATCCGCAGCCACTCTGCTCCTCCATTCTCCTCCCCGCTGGTGCTGGCTGCAGCGGTCTGTGCACTTTTCAATCCCCACTGCTCTCCCCGCCTGTTTCGGCAGAGGCAGCGGAGACATAGACCACTGCAGCTGGCACCACCAGGGAGTAGAGACCGCTGTGCCTCTGCATTACCCCGCTGGTGCCCCTTTTCCTCTGCTGGTTCCCCCATTCCTCCGCTGCTCCCCCCCCTGCCTCCACTGCTGCACATGTAATTCCGCTGCTGCCCCAGTTCCTGTGTTGCTGCCCCCATGCCTCCGCTACTCCCCTGTGCCCCCTTTTCTGCCGGCGGTAGAAAGAAAGCGTCAAAACTCCCTTCAGAGGCTGAAAGCAATATCCAGCCTGCTATTGGCTATTTTTAATTGTAACAGCCAATAGCAGGCTCACTATTGCACCCGCCCACTGCTTGCTGTCAATTGGCAAAGGAGAACCTGAAGGAGAACTTCAGTTCCCTCCTCTGCTGATTAACAGCAGGGAGTGGGCGGGTGCAATAGCCAGCCTGCTATTGCAACTTAAAATAGCCAATAGCAGGCTGGTTATTGCTCTCAGCCGCTCAAGGGAGTTTTGACGCCAGCTATCTACAGCTGTCATTCCCTAGTGAAGTGGAAAGGTGACATTAGGGGTCTAAAAGACCCGCTAATGTAACTTTAAATAGAACCTGTCACCTCCAATGTGCTATCACGTAGGGGGCTTGTGAGCTTCCCTATGTGATAGCAATGAGGTTAAAAAAAAACATTAAAAAAAATAAAGTTAAATAAAAAATACCCCCAAAGAATGTAAAGTCCCCCAAGCCTGCGAACACACGTATACTAATGGAAACCCCTACATGGTCTGGTGCACCTACATAGAAAAGCCGGATGCACCTACATAGAAAAACAACTTTTGCGCTACACAAGTCAGGTACTGCGGTGTTCGCCGGAGTGAGCTAATATTCATGGCTAACTCTAAACTGATGACCGGGCTTTTATAATAAATTTTAGTAGTATCTACTACATTTAGTACAAGAATATATATTAGTATACAGGTAAAATAATCATCTATCAGCCAATAAATTTACCTTCATGTCTTCGTCAATGCTAAGGTGGGTTATAATAGAAATGTCAGCAAAGTATACTGAAGATGCTACTGCTGTCATTGCAGGTCTTACAGCTGCTAAGTTGCTTGTGGAATCAGGACTTAATGTTGTGGTACTGGAAGCACGAAACAGAGTTGGGGGAAGAACGCATACAATTAGGGTAAGTCTGCAGTTAACATGCATTTTTTTCTTCATTCTGCACTGTACTGAAAAGTAAGTAGAAAACCAGCTTATTTTTAATTTGATACTAAATGGCTAATAGCTTGTTAATAGCTAATAGCTATGCCTTGTTCCATTCTGTGTGGAAGTGGCTATCTTGGTAGAGGAGCAGGGTTTTGCTTCCTTGTGACACAGTTTACATTTCTAGATGTTTCCTATAAGATAGCAAATCGTCACTTGTAAATTCCAAATCCACTTTAAGTGTTATGGGCTTATAATAAGGGCTGGGTTAAAGGTTTAAGTGCATTTCCATTTTTGGAATAAGTATATGCTTTAAAATTCAGATGAGAGAAAACTAGTAATTTAAGAAAACAAGTACCATGTAAGCAGAAATTTTTTAAAAAAATGTTTTTAAGCTATGCTATGTCAATGAGACCATGTAACCAAGGTAGAATAGGTACTAGATTTTACCTCTTTTACTGAAATTGTATTGTTAATTGTCTTCCTCAATTTTGAAAAGCGCTGGGTGAACTGTTGGCGCTATTTACCGTATTTTTCCGTCTATAAGACGCCCCTATGTATAAGACGCCCCCAACTTTTCTTACCCAAAATTCAGAAATTAATATTTTAAATGATATTATGCATCACACTTACCTCTGAGCCAATCACTTTATTCAGCCTCTGTTGCATCACTGGTTTCTGGCAAGAAATCCAAGTCTTAAGCCTCTGCTCCAAGTTTGGCCATTTTGCTGGTTTTCCTCTCAAGGCCTTCTTCTTTTTGGGCATCTTAAGGAGTTGCTCTTCCTGTTCTCTCCACTGTCTGATCATACACTCAGTGGGAGGAGGTCCAAATTGTCTCTCTGCAGCTCTATTTCCATGCTCTTTTGCATAAGTGAATGCATGCAGTTTACATTTTGCAGAGTAAGCCAGCCGCTTTACAGGTTGTTTTTCATTTTCTGACATTTTTATGGTCACAGAATGCTCCGACATTACCACTCTGGGCACTGTCTAGACGTTCTCCCCAGCAACAGCTGACATCAGGTACAAAAGATTTATGATTGGAGGAGAACTGTTATCTTGTCTCTGCAATCCGAAGTTTCACTCGTGAGGCTAGTTTGCAGTGGTATCAGCACTTTCAAAACCGCGGCCCCCGTGTATAAGACGCACTCTATTTTTAGGTAAACACTTTTATGAAAAAGTAGCGTCTTATACACGGAAAAAATACGGTAAATCCTGAATAATATAAAATTATTATCCCAATTTGGCTGCAAAAGAATAAATACACTTCAGTATTAGGGTGAGGGTTGTGTTAAGATTCAATGTTAAGGTTTAGGTTACAGGTAAACTGTTCAAGGAGGTGGGCGCATTTTAGGGTGTAATTTACAGTGGAACTGAACTCAGAAACCGAAGATTTGCTATATTATAGGAAACATCTAGAAATTATATTGGCACCTAAGTAACACCCTAAAAAATGTACTATTTGTCCTAAATGTCTCCTGAAAAACTGCAGTGCACTTTCTGTGACTAGGCACTCGGTTACCTTGAACTTCATAGCTGTAATTTTGCTCTGTGAGATTATCTAAGGCATTCTGCCTCTGACTGCTAACTTTATGAGATTTGGCATGACAAGTGTTGATGCCACCAGTTTTGTATTTGTACTTGTGCACCTCCAAACAAGCTTTCTTCTTCATTCAGACTGTGAGTGTGTGCTTCCTTCACTTCACTGTTACTTTATTTTTCCATCAGTTAGCTGATCACCGGTCATTAGATGGGGCAGGACTGACATTTGTAAGTAAAGCTCTGCCTCTGCCAAGATATCCACCTCCACAGAGTAAGTGCAGAGAGCCTACAGGTAATAATGGTAACAAGTCATTCATTCTCTACATGCCATTTTTTGCTAGGGAAAGTTAATGTACAACTTGCAGAAGCTAAGGGTTTTAGAAAAAGGTTTGAATTCAGAGGCACACAGCACCATCGACTATGTCATAATGTCAAGTGATGATCCCCAAAAGGGTCTGGCTATATACACTGAGTGGCCAGATTATTATGACCACCCCATCAGTACTTCGTTGGGCCACGAGATAACTCCACGAGATGACTTTGTTGGGCCGCCTCGTGACTCCACGAGATGTTGAAAGGTGATGAGAGGAATCTGACACTGCACTGTTGCCTTGTACCAGTCTTGCCACTCTCCGTTATGCCCTAACATTGACTAGTTGCTGACTGCCACAATTCGCACGTTCAGAACCAGATTTTCGGCTGACAGTCAAGTCTTTAAACACTTTAACAATGAGCCCCTCTTGAACATTTAATGAATTCGACTGTTTTTCTGATACTCGCTCCATGGCTCGCTCCAACAATCATCCCACGTTTAAAGGCTGTTAAATCGCGTTGTTTACCCATATCTTCAGAAAAAAAAATCACTTCTACTGTTGTGGTAAACAACCTGCTTCCCTATTTAGAATTGTCTGGCCCTCTAGCAACTTCAGCGCAAAATTAAAGCTAATTATAGTTAATTTGCCTACAAACATCAGGTGGTCATAATAAACTGGCCACTCAGTGTATATGCTGCAATATTTATGTAATCCATACCAAGAACATTTCAAGCATGTTGGGGAATGTTTCTAATCCCTTTCTAGGAATCTTTAATGTGCACAAAATCAACTCACTGGTGTCTGTGATACATACATGTGTATTGAGAAATAGCGTACCATTGGTTAATATTTTTTTTAAAGAACTACCGCTTTCGCTGTGTGCTCCCGTCCAAGAAAACAAAACTGTTCCAGTGGCCGCATAGCATCTTGGGGCTGGTGCATGCGCAGCTCAGATTCTGGGCCGGGAGACTAGCAGAGACGCAAGGTAAGTCCGCATGCAGACACCGCTGGATCGGAAGTGCCAGCAAGGACAGAGGAGTTAGCGCTGGATCAGAGAGCCGTCGCACCGCTGGAGAGACAGATGAAAACATCAGGAAAGAAGAGGAAGATCGGATTAAGAGACATCATTTAAGGTAAGTCATCTACATTGGATTGTTTAGTTCTTTATAAATCTACAGGATGTATTTTGTTTAGGGAATGTCCCAAGCACTCTTCCACTGATCAGCAACTTGTTCTGTTGCTACAGTTAGAGAAATTTGAGTGTTTTTAAGTCTAACACTTAGGGCTGCAACAACTAATCGACATAATCGATTATAATCGATTATTGAAAAAGTTGTCAACTTTAATTATTAATCGGCTCCTGATTGGTTGGCCCTGTTCACGGCTTAACACACGCTGCTTGCCACACCTCCTCCCCCACCTCACGTTCGCCGCTGCCAGACCTGCCCGCATCCACGCTCCCGCACCTCCTCCGCGCCTCACGCTCACCGCCCGTCCAAATCCACGATCGGCACAGGGACGCGGGGAGAAGAAGTAAGGAGGAGCAGGTGTGGGGGGGATGACAGCCGCCGATAGACAGGCCCGATCTCAGAAACAAGTTGCTGGAAGACTGTTCAGGTAAGCCTGCACTCCCACCCACACATGGTGCTCTATAATGTATTGCTGGGATATGTATTCCTCTATAGCTGATGGTACATTGTGCTGTATATTATACAGAGCAATGTACCATCAGCTATATAGGAATACAAATCCCAGCAATACATTGTACACTGCATGTATAATGTTTTGCTGGGATTTGTTGTACTCCTATATAGGCGGTGGTATTCTGCATTGCACTGTATAGAGGACTACAAATCAAGGAATACCACCAGCTATAGAGGAGTACAACAAATCCCAGCAATAATACATTATACAGTGGTGCAATGCCGAATACCACCAGCTATAGAGGACTACAACACCCAGCAATAGTACATTATACATTGCAATGCAGAATACCGCCAGCTATAATGTACTATTGCTGGGATTTATTGTATTCCTCTATAGCTGGTGGTATTCTGCATTCATTGCTGTATAATTTTACACTTTTCATTTCACTATATTGTACACCACACTTTTTTTTCTTTTTTACTTCTACTGCTCCAAGCTTGCTCCTGTGATAGACTGCAATCTCAATACAAACTAGAAGTCCCATCACTGGAGCCATTTTTTAAAATGTATTTTATTTTTTATCCGATTAACCGATTAATCGAACTTAATAATCGGCTAACTAATCGATTTTGAAAATAATCGTTAGCTGCAGCTCTACTAACACTATTGCATTCCAGAAACTAATGCTATACTGACACTAAACATAGGGTTATGACAGATATGTACAGTATGTACCCATACAGTATATAAAAATACCACAAAACAACTTTGCACAAATGTACATTTGAATATGTGTGCATCTGATGAAAAAAACATTTTTTTATTGTCTTGCAGAACAAAGAAGTCCAATATGTTGATGTCGGTGGAGCATATGTTGGACCGACTCAAAATCGCATTTTACGAGTGGCAAAAGAATTAGGTGTACAAACGTATAAAGTCAATGTACAGCAAAGGCTGATCCATCACGTAAGGGTGAGTATTAGCTAAATATTTCCTGATCTTCATACCCATTCTCGGTCAGTGACTCAGCATTGTAAACAGTGGGTCAGCTTAATAACCAGGCAACTAGCATTCTCAAATGGATATCAGCAACAGAAGCTACATATTTCTCTCTTTACATGTTTAATGTGATTTATAAAAGCCTCAGGCAGTGGGATAAGACAGAACCCAACTCAGCTTTTAGAGGGAAGAATAAAATTGGCATGTAATTTCTGCTGATTATATCTCTAACAGGGTTATTCACAAGAGAGTTTTGAAAAGGCAGGAGAAGTGAACAAATTCTCCTGCAAAAATTCTCCTTCAGCTATGTTGTCCTAGATTGTTCACTTCTGCTTCCTTCTCCAATCTCTTCACCCTTTTGTGAATAACTCTGTAAATCTCTTTAAAGAGGATCTTTTAAAATAACAACAAACACACCTTTTAGAAATGTTTAGTAATGACAATCTACAAACACATACTTCTAGATAATTGCCAGCTTTTTATTTTTCGCATTCCTTATTTCTCTTTCCTTTCTCAGTCTTCTGACAGTGGCCATTTTAACTAAGGGCAGATTACTAGATCTCACTCTACTTCCTAGAACTCTGGCACATGTGACTAGGACATGTGATCATGCACATCAAATCAGAGGAGGAAAATGCCTTTCTCTGAGATCTTGTGAGATTACAGATGAGATTTCCCAGCAATGCTCTGTTGATGTAATCTTCCCAGGATGCAACACTTGGGCACAATTACATCATTTGTGCCAAAAGGGACCAGAAAGTGGATAAAATCTAGTTGTAAGTAAATGAAAAACATAAAAACAATAAGTGATCAGCGCCAGTAAGTAAATGCAAATAAAAAGCTACTAGGCACTCAAGATACATAAAAAATATCTAAAACATGTTTAACAATGATGTGCCACAATAAGATATGTGTGTCCTGTGTGTCAATCACTGAAGTGTCTTCAGTGATTTACACAGGACACACTGCTCGGATTCTTCTACTGCTCCGGTTTTACTGTTCTGCAGCTCGTTTTAACTTCAGTCTTGTGAGTACCTGTCAGTTCTCCTTTTAGGCCTGTTTTTTGGAATAAACGATACTGCACTAGGAAAGGCTCCCCTTTTTGTGATTTTAAATCAGCATGCAGAGCTGCATGCTGATATGATTTTTAGCAAAAGGTGGTAAAGATCCACTTTAAATGATATAAGATACCATCCAGATACCTGGATAGTCCTCTGGTTTATCCAGGTCCCGTGCTGGTGGTTGAGATACCGTCCTGAGAGGTGGTGACTCATATCTCACATCCTAAGGTGTTTTTGGATTGGCTCTTGGCCTCCATTTAATACAGTGGAAAGGAGGAGGAAGTCACGTTCTGATGAAGGGGGCGTGACCCCAGCAACGCGTCAATGTAGGCATTCTGTGCTGGTACACAGAACTGTCTGTGCAGCTCTCATCCTGGTTTACTATTCCTTGGTTTCTGAAAGCTCATTGTGATCTACTCTTGTGAGTATTATTTCTATTTTTGCCACCTTTCAAAAAAACTATCTACACTAGGGTAGGCGCCCCTTGTTTTCTTCCTAGATACCACAGTCTCCCTGGCTGAAGTGGGGTAGCGACCCGTAGCACTCCTGCATGTGAACCCTTCAGTGGAGTGGTCCTTTCTGGCGTTTTTTGTTGTTTTTTCACTCTAAAAATGTATCTTATTGTTACATCACTCAGCTGTAGATCCTCAAATCATCCCTGAATTGGTGCTGGCACTGTCCTCCCTTCTGGAGGGTGACCACTTTTGTTCTCCATGGCCCCTGCGTGTGTTGTAAAGTAGCCACCGCTCCAAGCTCGCTCCTGTGATGGACTACAATCTCATGTTTAGTTTACTAATTTGTATTGAAATTGTAGTCCATCACATTTGATGTGACATTTCTTCTGACTTCATGTTTTATATTAACAATGTATGCCATATGCAGCTATGTGAATTCTGTCTCTAGCAGCTAATCTATACTGTATCAGGAAGTGCTGCTAATTCTTTTAAATGGTTAAAAGATAAAACCAATTAGCCACATACTGTACAAAGAGGGACATTTATCAAGCAAATTAGTGACAAATGTGGAAGCAAATCAGGCTGCCTGTCAGTTAGCAGATTCCTTGCAACGGTTTTTGTGTATTTGCGGCCCCTGCACCTGTTATGCTGGGGATCCAGCTAAGACTATTTGCACAGGTTGGTGACACCGCTGTAAATGAGAAAGATTTTACTTGAAACACAAGGAGCACAGTTAGGAAGTGGTCAGGAGCAGGCTTTATTCTGTTGCAATGCAACTTGAGAGTAAGGATGAGCTTGGGTTTGGTTCAAACCCAGGCTCACAGAAACACAGAAGTTAGGTGCAGTGCACACCCAGTCAGCTGTGGCCTGAGGATTCCTTTCCCTGCAGCCGCACATGAAGGGGTGAAATGCTGGTGACATTATTAACTTTATAAGGCCACGCAGCCATATTTGGTCCATGACTGTGACCTAATGTGGCCATATAAGGTCAATTATGTAAACAGCATCCTGCCCCTTTGTTTACATGCACCTTGCGGGGCGGGGAATGGCCTGGCCGCAGTTGTTTGGGCCAGCACTGACAACTTGCTTCCTGGTTTGGATGAGCTTGAGTTCAGTCCAACCCCAAGGTCATCCCTACTTCAGAGCAGCTCAGAATCAAACAGTCTAATTATCATATACTGTATCTGTTGATATATTTGCTCACTGCTTTTGTTTAGCATTGCCTTGATATGCGATGGAATTGATAAATCTATTTTTGGTTGGTGGAGCAGACTGATAAACTTGCTTTGGGGGAGAGAAATAAAATAGTAGAAACACTTCTGCACTTGTAAGTAAGAAATCGCATAAGCCTGTATATGTAACAAAAAAATACAAGTACGCCTATGTACAAATATATTGACACATTCTACATACATATATGTACCTAAACAGCTTTATGGACTATAGTTTCTGTTTTATCTTCTGGTTTTACTTGACTGTTTTTTTTTTTGTGTTTTTTTTCATCTTCTAGATATCTTGTTTTTGAAGTGCAATCTGTTTTATATGAAGGTTGCAAAGGTTCATTTTTCATATTCCCTTCCCTTTATAACCTTTCCTCTAGAGCTCTTTGTGAGAAAGATAAGGGGAAAAATTGCTATTTCAGGCATTATTGTTCAATGCAAGTTTTCCAAGATATAGTGATTAATGGCTTCAATATACCACCAACACACTTTATGGAAACGGCAAGCGAAGGCTGTTTATTATGTATGTTCTGTTGTACTTGTGCTCTGTCACGTACACAGTGAATTCATCTTTCTCTCAAGCGTGGTTACATTTTACTGTTCCATAATAATTAACACTTACTTACAAAGGAGACGGTAAACAGTGCACATTGATCTTTGACTTTGCTAAATCTTTTTTTTTTTTTTCTTAGACCGTAAAGCCGCAGTTGTTTGAGCAATCTAAAAGGTTTATTACAGGAGATTACTTAAAGCAAACCAGTGATTTGGAAAATACTTTAAAGGGAGGGAGTGTAAACTGTTTTTGAACATGTTTACTTCATTTTTTTAAATTATGATCAGGAGTAAAGTTCAGCAATAAAAATTTTTAATATGCATTTTTAATCAGGTAAAAATTGAATATTGCATATGTCATATCTACCGCATTTATCCAAGAGGTGGAGCTGTATGCTGACTACAAGCTTTGAGCACATCCCTACCTCTATGCTGTATAGAAAGTGTAATTTGTTTCTAGCTGTTCAGGCCTATTTAAAATACACACACAGCTGGATGAGTCTGAGGATGGACAACCCACCCCCCATCTCTAGTTCATATGACTTTGTAGGGAGTAGGAATGAGCTCATATTCGGTCCAAACCTGAGCTCCTCCAAACAGAAGCTAAACCCAATCAGATGCGGGTCAGGCATTCCCTGCCCTGTAGCTGACCATAAACAAAGGAGCGGGATGCTTTGGCTGACATGATTTACCTTTTATATGGCTGCATGCCTTTTTAATTTACCTAATATAACCGTGTAGTCATATAAGGTCAATGACCACACTACATGCTGCTTACATGCAGTTGCTACAGCTGATTGTGCAGCAGCAGAAGGAGTTTGCTTCTGTGTTCGAAGGAGCTCCTTCCGTGTTTCGAGGAACTCAGGTTTGGGCCGGGTTTGGTCCAAACCTGAGCTCATCCCTAGTAGGGAGGATCAAATGGAGAGAGGCAATCTGCAAGCAGCCAAAGCAGGTCTGTCCTTTTAAAAAGGCCAGAATTCTCTGTTATCACAGTCAGTGGCGTCACAAGTGTGGTGCGGGGGGTCCGGCCCGCACCCGGGTGACACCATTGGAGGGGTGACACCAAAATGACTCACAGTCATTTTGGTGTTACCCCCCTCTGAAAAGTCGGGCACTCGGTCATGGACCGAACGCCCGACAGTATCTTGAGAGAGGAGGGGACCCGGCGGCATACCTCATCCCGCCGGGTGACTGTTCCCTCCTCTCTCTGCCGGCGTCCATCACCAAGATGGCTGCCGGCAGCTATCAGAATAACGTCACGCGCAGTGATGTCTCGGCGGGGTGACATTCGGTTACCGCTCCGGGTGTCACCCAGCCTCGGGACGCCCCTGATCACAGTGGTCTGGAAGCACTGTGGTTGTAAGGTAAGAAGAATAATTAATTTATAAATTTCTAAGCATTAAGAAAAAATAAAATGTTCCACATTTAGTCTTTGCCTTTTCTGAAAGTCAGTGTTTGCATAAAGTTTTCTAAGGGTGTTCAGAATCACTGCAGGTATTGGTTTGCACCATTTAGAGAACACTACACTGCAGGTATGTTATGTTTATTTAGATTTTTCTCTAAACGTTTTTGAACATATTTGGCTTAGCAATATAAATCACACTACTTTGCAGATCAATATATATTTAATATGTTTTGTATGTGTGTATCAGACACATACAAAATAAACCTAAATAAATAAACCT